AGAGAGAGAGAGAGAGAGAGAGAGCGAGCTCCTGGCATATAGCCAATAGAAGCTCTGGAAACTGACAAAACAACCTACAATGCTCAGAAGGACTTCCACCCCTACTCCCCAACAAAGACTAATGAGCTCCAAAGTGTCAACAGTGCTGAAGTTGAGGACACTTGAGATGGTCTGATAAATGACAAAGAGCCACACACATCTAAAGTGCAAATGCTTCTCTGATACACTGGTGTTTCTGGGATATCTTAAAAAAATACGATGTTGATAATTTTTAAAAAAGGAACAGATATTGGTGCAAGAAGGTGAACTATTATGCTTAGTCAGAAAGAATTCAAGTGTCCTGGAAAGTTCTCCTGTGTCCAGCACAACTTTGGATATATATTTTTCTTCTCATTAATGAAATTAACACATTATTTAAAATAGAGCAAACAGCACAGATGTGCATGCAACGATGTCCCATTTTTCATAAACATTCTTCAGGCAAATACTTGATAGTTCCTTATCTAAGTAGGATCGAAAATTGGAATTGGATAAAGAAATAATATTGATCGGACCTTCTTGCCAAATTGTGTTTGAGGATTTTACCATAATACAAACAATTATCACTATTTGTATTTATTACTATATGCCACAAGATCTTCAATAATATTTAAGTTGATTGAGTGGTTAAATGAATAAAGAAATAAAGGAATGGATGAAAGTGCTCTTTAAAATGTAAAGTGCTTTACAAACACAATGTAGTATAAGTATATATGTAATAGGTAATGCTGCAGCCTCATAATATTTGCTCAAAAAAAACCCACAAAATAAAACAAAACACAACAACAACAAGAAACCTTCTCAGGCCAAAAAAAAAAGTTCAAACAGTTTAGAAAGCAAATAAAAATTGTGACGATATAAATGATAAGAAAACCTGCTATGGATATCATTCATTTTCAGGTACATTGGGGAAGAAATGAAACAAAGGCAGAAAAAATTTAAATGGCAAAAAGAAATAGTATTGTTAACTTAGATAGTAACAGGTAGGAGTGGGGAGCGGGGAGGAACCTGCAAACCCAGACAGAGATCCTGTAATAGCTAGAACTTGAAACCACAGATTGTTATTAAAATGGCGCCATTCTTAAAACAGCAACATGATAGAGGAAGATTGGTCCACTGTTCTACAGGACAGAGTAGACGGTCATACAGCACATAAAGTTAGGATTTAGAAGGACTGTGCCTTCTGAGATGCTTGGTTGACCTTACATGCCGACAAAGGAGTAATGACAAGGAGAACTTGCACAAAAAATAACCTGACAGGAGTTTCAAGTTCAGGACCTAGTTATGACAATGTGAAAATTACTTTTCTCTCCTGGACTCAATTTTCTTATCTGTGAAATGAAAAAGTTGAATTAGATGACCTCCCATGATTCTGGCATACAGATGCTGATGCCAAGAGTGGGGGCAGGGATGAGAAAGAAAAAGTAAGAGCAATCTTTTGAAATTAGTAAAGCACATAAAGTAATAAAATATCTGAAAAATGTCTGAAGAAATACAAAGCAAAATAACATTTTACAGGAGCAAGAAACCATAACCACAGGATCTATTTTTCAGTTAATCTTATTTAAATATTCATTTCTTATCGTGGAATGGATGTGTCTTGAACCATAACATAGCTTATAGCAAAACTTTTTCTCAAATATGCAGTAAGTCCTAGGAGCATCACCAAATTTATACTTCTTCAGAATGAGGAAATAAGAAGAATTTTTTTTTGCCAACAGTTTAATAAATTATACTCATCTGAGAAAATGTATTATCTGCATATTAGCATAATTTAAATTAATTTTATTCCTTTTATGCAATATATAGTCTTCATTTGCAAATTTTTACAATTAAAATTAAGTTCCACATATTTATATTTTAATGTGACAGCCCCTTACATTTGTGTTATGGGGATAAAAAATTATTTAAAGTTATTTGCGTTTGAGGTATTTCCTTCTAAAGGGAAGCCTGCTGGTCAGCTCCTAAGCCTCCCTTTGCTGTGAAGAATAAACTGGGAAATTAGAAGAAGCTAGAGATGCTAATGACTCTACTTAATAAAGAAGTGAGCCAGTTGAAGTAGGAACATAGAGGCCTTTGGTGTGGAAGAGGACAGATGGTTGGGAGAGAAGTCATGTAGAGGAATTAGTAAGAGAAAATATTAAGATGGGCAAAGAGAAACGTAAGTAATTAGTGTCTGCTTTGAAAGCATTCTCCTTTGGCAGTTTTTCAAGAAATGTATTGATCTGATTGTCTTTGAATGCTTGGTGTATTGATGAACTTTTTTTCCTGAATGCAAATGTGTGCTGGTCCTGAACCAAGAGCCGTGCTTTATTTGGGCTGCATTGACATATGGTTTTAAAAGTCTGTACATTTAGTCAATCTGCATAATAATCATCTTACAGGAAAGATAGGATGCAAATATTTTTATTTTCCCAAATTGCAAACTCTGACTCATGGAGATTAAAGTGATTTTGCCAAAATAACATAGTGGACACTCAAAGTTGTATCAGCTGGTATTGTTTTTTTTCATTATTCCATCATGCCTCTCTGAAATAAAAATTTAGTGCTTAGTTTAGCTAAGAACTACCAAATCTTCTTTATCCTCCTCCTTTTTCCTCAAGGGAGGGGGCTGGAAGGAAAGATCCCAGTAGCACCACATAATAGAATTTCTGTGACAACAGGGAGATTCTGTAATGTCCAACATGGTAGCGACAAGCCACATGTGGCTATTGAGCACTTGAATGTGACTAGTGTGAGTGAAGAAATGAATTTTTATTTAATGTTAATTAATTTACATTCAAATAACCACATTTGTCTAGGGAATATAAGATTGGACAGCCAGCTCTAGAAGCTACATGTGACAGATTAACAAATGCCCTAGGTATCTTGAACTAAAATAATTGGGGCAAAGTGTAGGTTATCATGTATCTTTAGTTTTCCATTTGTTAATATATCTGGAAGTCTACACCCTTTATAAACAAACCAACATTGTGGTCACTGCTATCTGACTCAAAGTATTTTTCTTGACTTTTAGTATTTTTATGTAATCATTGAATATTATTTTTGCAAATAATGAAGATGAATAACTAACTCCCTGTATATTACCATTCACTTGATTTCTGCAGAAGTTTGCATGTTTTCCTTTGCTACTTTTAATTTTTAAAATTGTGATTCTCTCTCTATACTCATAGTTTATTAAGCAGTGTACAGATGTGTCCTTTTTAATATATTATATATGTACAGTTCAAAGTATCAGCATCTATTCTGAATTTCCCGAAACTTCATGTATGCCTGCTCTTCTGTTTCAATAAATGGTCACCAAGAAGGAAACAGAGACATATAAAATAGATTGAAAATTTCATGAAAAAACGGGATTCAGCCAGCCTTTCCCCTAACCACTAAAGGATTCATGCACAACAGAAACATCTCACCACCCTTCAGTCTTTGTTCTGTTAGGAAGCTTTCCCACACTTCAGCAGCCGTTTTCCTTTCAAAAAGTTGTATCTATCACTTGGTGCTTTAGTTCACTGAACAATTCAGAGGGTTTTATGTTTTTCTACAGGATGGCCAATTCTCTTGAATAAAAAATGGAAGAGCCCTAACCGATTTGGCTCAATGGATAGACATAGAGCATCGGCCTGCAGACTGAAAGGTCCCAGGTTCGATTCCGGTCAAGGGCATGTACCTTGGTTGCGGGCAAATCCCCAGTTGGGAGTGTGCAGGAGGCAGCTGATTGATGTTTCTCTCTCATCGATGTTTCTAACTGTCTATCCTTCTCCCTTCCTCTCTGTAAAAAAATCAATGAAATATATTTTTTTAAAAAGAAAGATGAGAGAGTATAAAGATAACATTACTATTTCAGAGTTGTGTAAGAAGTTGGATATATAGGCAAGGTTTATATAACTGTCAATCAACTGCTGTGAGAAGCCACACCTACCACAAAAGCTAGTGAAAGAAGCATCATCTTATCCTAAAAGGAATCGTCTAAGTGTCCCTTATGTCTTTGTAGAATACCAGTTGCACCAGTTACATTGGCAAGTCATTTGGTTATCGCTATCTGATCAAACCTACGCCACACAAAAATAAGTTGGGATAGTTCATATAAACTGAACAGAGCTACGCAGAGAGATTGTCATCACATCCTTCAATCACCTTGTCTGTCAATATTTTTTGCAATTATGAACTAAGTACTTAGGAAAAAATTACCACCCTCAACAGGTACTTAAAAATATAAAACAAACTGCATGGGATGGAAAATGGCACTAGTTTACATGAGACAGTTGTGTAGATAAATATGGTACTGTTAGTGAGCTGCTGTCATTCAATGTAGACACTGTGTACAAGAGGTTAAGCTGTTGTGAAGTGATGTTTAAGAGATCTCTGCTTCTTGATACCAGAATCTGCAAATGGTAGACATTGTACCCTATCAAAACCAACGGCTTCTTGGCACAGGATGTAAGTTTCATGGCTCAAGATGCGATGAAGTTGTACACACAGTACCTTAATTTAAACTTTAGGAGCTCAGTATTTGGATATTAGCCACTTTCCTCCTCAAAAGGATGCCTTTTCTATCTTCGTTCAGGGGGAAATTTCAAGATCTGTATTTTCTTTACAGGGCAAATGACAGCTCCATTTAAGGAGTGTTGGGCATCTGGTTTATTTAGCCAGGGAGGGAAGGAGTCGATATGAATGAAAGGGTGGCTCAAATAGGCAGGACAACGATTGGCATTGCAACCAATTGAACCACTTTTGCTAAGTGACATAAAAATATTCTAATATTAAGGATTATTTTACAACTCTATGGAAGTATGCAGTAATGCACCTTGCATTTGTTTTGTCTTCATGACAAAAATGCACTCTTAGAGTCACAAGAGCCTGCCTTGTGTTAGTTATAAAGAAAAATATATTTATATATATTTATGTAACTACTATGTGCTTTAAAGAAAATTACTGTATGATTCAGCAGGGTTCTTTCATTCTTTTATCACCAGGGATATGCTGACTTAAATGGCTTCTTAGAAGGGAATCGACAATGAAATGGGCCTTTAGTACTGAAACGGCAAAAAGTAAAAAATACCCATATACTAAGAATCCCTTAACATTTTTGTTTAAAAAGTGATTAAGGAACTACTCATCCTTTTGTTTCCTTCAGCCAAGAGCAACTGTGGCTTCATAGGACTTCACAGTTGGGAAATGGAGGCAATGCTTCGTAAAGCAAATCAAGTTTTATTCTGAGGAGCGAGAATAGAAAGCTTCATTTGCTACTCCCTCTTTCCTAATCCTTAGCTAACAGGTTGGAAATTCTACCACAGCTCACAAAAGGGCATTCATTAACAAGGAAGAGGGAAGCATAGTTTAAACCTCCTGTGCAGATAAAAGTTCATCCTATAAAGTAATGAACCTGTTGGAACAGGTGGATGTAGACCAGAAAAAAACACAATCCTTTGGCCACACGTCTGATGAAAAGATAGAAAATTTCTTATTTTGTGTTTGTGTTGTTCCTGCGTGAGCTATTTTTCTCAGCAATCTTGACATTCATCATTGCTCTTTTGGGTGGAAGGGTTCCGGCTTTGGGACACAGTTATCTTTGAGACATCGGAGAAGAGTATATGAACCAAAGGTGTAGATCCTTTGTGAACTAAAGCTTTGTTATTAGTGTTCTTGTTCTCGATCCCTTTGCAACCCTGCACCTAAGCCGATGGCACTGTAATCTTGTCATAATTCTGGGAAGTCCACACGAGATGTTCTGGGTGAACTATAGATGCCAATCCTCAAAGGAATTCTATGTTCAGTGGTAAATTGTGGCTTTTATAAGTTTTCGTTTTTCTCTTACCCTTCCTGGGCTGGGCTTGTCCAAAAATCTTGTTTCCTTCAGGCTACAGCAGCTTAGGGCTCCCTGTGTGTGTGTGTGTCTGTGTGTATGTGTGTTTGTGTTTTTTTGTCTTAATGGTATAGGGAAGGTTTTAGTCTTAACACCTGTAAGCCAGCACTGGTGCTGTTCTGTCCTAGAAATCTTAGCACTGCTCTGATACAATAAAACCTTCCTTCTCTCCCACTGGTTCAACTTCAGCGTAGGCTGGGTGGCCGGAACCTCTCCGAAACTTCATCGCAGGCCATCTGCTTGGGCGTCTCTAAAAGAGAAAATGAAAACACAATGAACACCAGGGTGATGATCACATCTGAATATATTTGCCAGACAGTTTAGATTAACTTCTAAATTAAATTTAGTGATATGTGAAATTCTCTCTTATTACCACCATAGCTGGAATTACATACCCACAAAGCCCCATGACTGAATTTCCATTCTGGTACTATCAGCCCCTCTTAGGTGACAGGCATTTGCCATACCTACCCCATCAGATGTAGAGCTTCTCAAAGGTAAGCTTTACATCTCATGCATATTTATGTCTAAAAGATCCTACAAATGCCCAAATATAACTAGGCAAAAATAAACTGTAGTAGAAAAAATGTCTTCTTACTATGTAGCCATTGACACTTTCTCTTCTCTAGAAGTCAATAATGACATCATTTCATTTTATTAATTAACTTACTCAAAACTCAAGGCCATAAAATTCTGCAGGGTACTTAGAAGTGTACATCAAATTAGGTGCCAGATTTTCTGGCAAATAAACTAAAAGGAAAACCATTTAATATCTTAAAAAATTATTTATTAAGCTGAGACTTCATATATATTACTTTTTGTGCTTGAAAATTAACAGATGCCATGCCCTGAAAACTGAATCCAGCTTCGGAGGGCATGAACCATCCTGGCCCTATGCGCTAAATAATTGCCCATATGGTCACGAGTCCTAAAATGCAGGTTATTTCTATCGACAAAGGACTGCATGTCTCCCCAGTACTCCATCCATCAAACAAACATTAAAATTCATTTTATGGTCACAATGACACTAGAAACTATTAGTCTTCTTTTATGTCTACAATTTTGGAGTAAGTAATATAATAAATATTGAAGGAAGTTTATTTCTACCTAAAGAATTTCAATGTGAAAAAAAATGTTAAATATTAGTGTAGATATCCTGGCATTTGGCAGCTTTCTAGATTTGCCAATTATATTCCAATGTCAATGATTAGTGGCTGCAGAAGAATTTTCATACCAGGTATGAATGAGTATTAGTTCTACTTCCTGGGAAAATACCAATCAAGTTAATTACATTTTGCCTTCTAATAATATTATGTACTCTCTATGTAACATTATGTGGTCAGAATGCTTTATATGTGTTAGCTGATTAAGTCCATGATGTAAGTAGAACTGAATTATTCATATTTTTCAAAAGAACAAGTTAAAACTGAGAGAGAGGTAGGTAGAAAAAATGGTGTGTCTCTGTTGGAACTAAAAATCATCATCGTTAGAAATATACAAAGCGTCTCTAGGCAGATGGCCCTATAACTCATGGTTACTCCTGTCTGTGGGAAAATGCCAATATGCCATTGTACTCACTATTTATGACCACTACCCTGGTTTCAGTAACTTCACAAATGGACTTCTGAAGCCACAACTGCCCTAGTCCTTCTTTGAGTCAAGCAGCTCAACTATGTCTTATTTCTGAACCCCCACATTTCTAAGACCTACCTGGCCTGTGGGTCCAGCTGGCAAGTATGGCCTGTGAACTAGCGCTAATTAATGTACAACCCAGATAATGAGAATGTTGATAATGATGCCTGTGAAAGTTATATTTTGTTAAGCTCCTAACAGTAGTTCATGCTTTGTACTAGGTGACTTATATATGATCTCATTTGATATGCAGAACTCCATCATTTATATTTTTTCACACTCGTAAAGTTAGTAAGTGGCAGAGCCAAGATTTAAAATGAGATCTATCTACTTCCAAAGTTAATTCTCCCCACTGTAGAACTTAATTCTTAAAATTCAGTGGCTTGCGTATAGCTTATCTGAAATTTGTGAACATGGTTCTATTTTTATGTCAGTCTTAAAAATATACCCTTATCAACAAGTTCAGTATTCTGTTAATAAGTCAGAAACATTAAGTTAATTATTCTCTGTATTAGCTGAAAAGAATGCAAGATTAATAATGCTCATCACGTACTTTGTGATGATAAAGTACAAATAAAGTACAAAAGTTTTGGACAGTGAAGCTTCCTCTGTTAACATAATTGTAACTTATTTTCTGAATTAATTACCTTAAAATTTTCTCTTGATTTTTCCTACTATTTGTTATAAACACACACACACACAGACTTGCCATCAACATTTAAAATCACCAGAGATCCCGCCACTCACACATAATTTGCTTCAACGTTCAGTGTCCACCACTTATATGCATTTCTAGGAACAATGAATCATTGCACATACTGTTTTAAGAGCTCTTTTTCCCCCCATAACTAAACACTGAAAACAAACTATGCCTCTACAAAATTATTTTAAATGTTTGTAGCGTATATTATTTATAACTAAATGTTTTATATAATCAACTTGATATTTGAGGTAGTTTTCCAAATTTTTTGACAATATAAATAACATTACATTGACTAACTTTGCTACTCATCTGATGAATATATCTCTTACTTACTAGTTCCTTTTATAAACTCTCAGAAGTAGAATTATTGGGACAACGCGAATGAACAAAATATTTACAAAATCAGAAATGTCTAGTATGGTGCTAGATGTTGTGTTGAAGGACATATGACCAAAGAAAGGTTTGGAACATACTAGTAGTTTCTGGTCCCTTTGGGAGTATGTACATGTATTTTGTCTAGATTAAAATAAAATGCCTTTTTCGATAATGATATCTTAATATAGCTCTTTTTTTTCTTTTTGTTAAATAACTTTTTAAAAAAAATCTTTATTGTTTAAAGTATTACATGAGTCTCCTTTTTCCCCCATTGACCTTTCCCCAGTCACCCCCACCCCCCAGCACATGCCTTCACCCTCCTACTGTCTGTGTCCATTGGTTAGGCTCATATGCATGCAAACAAGTCCTTTGGTTAATAATGATATCTTAAAATTCATAATTGAACTCTAACAAATATCATACAACTAGGGTTTTAAAAATTTGGTCTGTTTTTACATTCTTTTGATTTTACATTTTCTCGATATCTCTAGCTTAGCCCTAAAGATACTAAAGAGTAGTAACTTTACCAAAATTCTGCTTTCTTTCTAGAATACTTTCACATATGACACAAATTAATTATATGATCTTAAATCATCTGATTTCTCTGGGCCTTTGTTCCTTCACTTGTAAAATATTATCTAAGTGTTTGTCCTCTAAACTCTTAGGATCCTTACATCGGCTTGCCTGAGATAATTGCCTTTAACGTTGTGGGGAAAAAAGAGTGATTTAAAAATTCCTCTGTATGGTGGTTCTTCTGATCATTGTCCCTCCTGCCTCTCTTCATGAACTTTTAGGTTTTCTAAATTTAAGGGAAATCTATATAAATTAGTCCTAATTGAAATGCTTTTCTATGTCGATCTTCAGTCCTTCAAAGGTTTCCTTATAAAAGAAAATAATGGGGGCAGTTCTCTGTGAGGGAATGTCTGAGTAGTTGGTTCTTATAGAAAAATCTTTAAAGTTGATGCTATAACATGAGGCATCTATCCAGTGGACAAGGGGGTCTAGACACCCGATGTCTAACACTGACACAAAGTGTTGTGGTCACAAGTCTGCATTTTTATGTGTTTCTCAAGGCTTAGACGTGTCTAAATCTGACTTCTTTTTAGAACAGCAAATTCACATTCCTGCAGAAACTGATAGGGGAAACAGGATCACTTGCTAGCAGGGCAGGATGTATGCTGAAATTGAAAAATTCAAATCAGAATGTAGTGGAATTCATTACAGAAATTCGGGAAGTAATGCTTTAAAACATTAGCGGGCATAATGCGTGGGTGATCTCTAATTTCATGCTGGAGAATTATTTATGTGATTAATTACATTCAGAAGTCAATGTTCACATTGATATGCCGGCTTGGGTGGGCTGTGCAATCAGGTATTCTCCCTAATTACTCCTTCAGTACTATTAATTGAACAGTCATCCAGATCTGTCTCAATGGTCTGTGGCAAGATAATTAGCTGAAATATACATAAACAAACCTGCAGGGTACCCTCAGTTAGCAGTGTACACACAACTGCAGCTGGAGACTTCTCTTCAAGCTCAGTCAGCAAAGCAAATAGTCCTTTGAGTTGGGTTAGATGAGCTTTGAAAGGAAGTTACTAGGCATGAGTGTAAAAGAAAATGGACCCGATTTAAAATTCAAGGCTCAGTTGGAAGACACTTGACAAGCAGCTGGCTGGAAATTTCTGGTGTTTTGTGCTGCCTTCTTTAGTGAACAGGGGGTCGTAGAAAGAAGCTGGGATCAGACTGAAACAGCATCTGTTAGCTCCCATCAGAGGACTTAGGTAGTCACATGATGTCTTTGTTACTCAGTTTCCCCATTTGGAAAATGAAATAAACTAGATTATTGTTTTTCAACTTCTTTTCTTTTTAAATTGAAAAAGTGCTTGTCACAGACCCTTTGTCCCACTGAAATCTTCCCTTGTAATCCAAACCAGATTGTGGTGAGTAGGTCTCCCTTCACTGGGAGGGAGGAGCCCCTGCTGACATGCTCTTCCCGAGCCATGAGGGAGCCTGTGGACCCTACACCTTCTCAGAGCATGTTTTTGGAAACTACAGAACTAAATCTGCATTTCTCAGGCTTGACTGTGCATACAGGTCACAAGGGATCCTGTTAAAATGCACGTGCTGGTTCATTAGGTCTGGGGGGAGGTTGGAACTCTGCATTTCAAACAGGGCCCCAATGCTGCTGCTGCTGGTCCACACTACACACACACGTTGAATAGTAAGGGTGGTGATTGTCTAAGGTCTCTTCAAAAAGGAACGTCTTTAAAAGTGAGTGTAGAAACGGTATTGAACTCTGACCTTCCTGTGTCTCCCATGGGCCTGCATGGGAACTGAACCCTCCTTGTATAGCTGGATTAACTTTTCCGTGTTTAGCTTTGATAAAGTTTGTTCATTAAAAGGGATTCAGTTTTCTTTCATATAACTCTAAATTCCAAATATCTCTATTCTCCTTATTTTGTGTTGGCTATTATTTCAGTTTTAACAAGTTACATGTCTGGTTTGCCAGGTTTAGCAAAATAGAGAACACCAGTTAAAT